CATAGACATTATCTTCATACTACACTTAGCCACATAAGTGGTGACCCAGTGTTCAGCTAGCCATTCCCAGAGAAACTCCTCTGTTCCCCACCCTCTACCTGCCTCATCTGTTGTAAAAATGATGGAAAAAGGTATAAAAATGAACAAATATAACTGCAACATCTGTTTCAACACATCCACACTACATTCATTCCTAAACAACACATTAAAGAGGTATTGTTGGTCAAGCATGGTTACTATGACTACAATGCATACTCTGATTTATCATTAAATTAATTTTCGTTTATGCACCAAGATTGAAGAAGTAAAGAAATAAATGAGAACAATAAAAACTTATACTTCATCTGAAAAATGTCAAAGTGACAGGCATCCATGTATATATATGATATACCATATCTACCTGGTGTATAATATACCATATCTACCTGGTGTATAATATATACCATATCTACCTGGTGTATAATATACCATATCTACCTGGTGTATAATATACCATATCTACCTGGTGTATAATATACCATATCTACCTGGTGTATAATATACCATATCTACCTGGTGTATATGATATACCATATCTACCTGGTGTATAATAAATATATACTAGATCTACCTGGTGTATAATATACTAGATCTACCTGGTGTATAATATTTACCATATCTACCTGGTGTATAATATATATATACCATATCTACCTGGTGTATAATATACCATATCTACCTGGTGTATATATATACCATATCTACCTGGTGTATAATATACAATATCTACCTGGTGTATAATATATACCATATCTACCTGGTGTATAATATATACCATATCTACCTGGTGTATATATATACCATATACCTGGTGTATAATATATACCATATCTACCTGGTGTATATATATATATACCTGGTGTAATATAATATATCTACCTGGTGTATATAATATACCATATCTACCTGGTGTATATGATATACCATATCTACCTGGTGTATAATATACCATATCTACCTGGTGTATAATATATACCATATCTACCTGGTGTATAATATACCATATCTACCTGGTGTATAATATATACCACCTGGTGTTTAATATATATCTACCTGGTGTATCTACCTGGTGTATAATATATATACCTGGTGTATATATATACCATATCTACCTGGTGTATATTATACATATACCTGGTGTATAATATACCATATCTACCTGGTGTATAATATACCATATCTACCTGGTGTATAATATATACCATATCTACCTGGTGTATAATATATACCATATCTACCTGGTGTATAATATATACCATATCTACCTGGTGTATATATATACCATATCTAATATATATACCTGGTGTATATATATATCTACCTGGTGTATAATATATATACCTGGTGTATATATACCATATCTACCTGGTGTATAATATACCATATCTACCTGGTGTATAATATATACCATATCTACCTGGTGTATAATATATACCATATCTACCTGGTGTATAATATATACCATATCTACCTGGTGTTTAATATATACCATATCTACCTGGTGTATATGATATACCATATCTACCTGGTGTATATGATATACAATATCTACCTGGTGTATAATATACTAACATGAAATAACATTTACCTGTGGATAAGGAGAAACAAAGGGTTAAATATATAAAATATCCATCAGATCTCCATTCATTATTTGTAGATAACTGTAACATATTCCCGTACAGATTTCATCGACATGGTTAGAAGTGATCTAAAGCTGAGTTATGTTGATGTTGTTATACTATTAAGATCTTTTTACCTTTAAATGGATATTGATATGTCCCATACAAATTGTACTCCATTTTGTTGTGTACTCATCCTTTGTAATACACTCAGAATTACTGACATAAGATAAATATACATACACAACATTACACAACAAGTTTACCTCCTTCCAAATACATCCTGAACAGAGTCAAACAGGTCAACTGGCTGCCTTACACCATTGGAGGTTGCGAAAACTTGCCCATTAAAATAACATGCATTCTCAATTCGACACTCAGTTTTCAGTCCAGCGTCTCCTTTGGTTACATCATCCATCGGTCTCATTGTCCCGTTTATCTCCTCCTTATGTTTAATCACAAAGTTCCTTGCAGAAACTTTACCACCGATGGCTGCGCCCTGGTAGTGTCTCTCCTTGGGATCCTGTTTACTGCCAGCAGGTCGTCAGAACTAACGAATCACCAGATCTTCTTGTTCACCCCCTTACAGAAGTCGCCCACTATGTCCCTCTTTTCCTCTTCCACACTTTCTAACTCGGGGAAATCCATCACCTTGATATAGTTCCTCCTGCTGTATCGTTCGTTATGGTTTCCCTTTCGTATCCATGGCCATCCTGTTGACCTCCGCCATTTCTTTACTCAGGTCTATCTTCACTTTCTCCATTTCCTTCTGTCCCTCTTTGTTTAGTCCCCTAAGTTCTTGTTTCCTTCTGTTTGACCTGTAGGGATTCCTGTAGTCTGTGATGGTCCCCTAAGTTCTTCTGTGTCCTTCTGTTTGACCTGTAGGGATTCCTGTAGTCTGTGATGGTCCCCTAAGTTCTTCTGTTTCCTTCTGTTTGACCTGTAGGGATTCCTGTAGTCTGTGATGGTCCCCTACCTGTAGGGATTCTTCTGTTTCCTGTGTCCTTCTGTTTGACCTGTAGGGATTCCTGTAGTCTGTGATGGTCCCCTAAGTTCTTCTGTTTCCTTCTGTTTGACCTGTAGGGATTCCTGTAGTCTGTGATGGTCCCCTAAGTTCTTCTGTTTCCTTCTGTTTGACCTGTAGGGATTCCTGTAGTCTGTGATGGTCCCCTAAGTTCTTCTGTTTCCTTCTGGTTGACCTGTAGGGATTCCTGTAGCCTGTGATGGTCCCCTAAGTTCTTCTGTTTCCTTCTGTTTGACCTGTAGGGATTCCTGTAGTCTGTGATGGTCCCCTAAGTTCTTCTGTTTCCTTCTGTTTGACCTGTAGGGATTCCTGTAGTCTGTGATGGTCCCCTAAGTTCTTCTGTTTCCTTCTGTTTGACCTGTAGGGATTCCTGTAGTCTGTGATGGTCCCCTAAGTTCTTCTGTTTCCTTCTGTTTGACCTGTAGGGATTCCTGTAGTCTGTGATGGTCCCCTAAGTTCTTCTGTTTCCTTCTGTTTGACCTGTAGGGATTCCTGTAGTCTGTGATGGTCCCCTAAGTTCTTCTGTTTCCTTCTGTTTGACCTGTAGGTTCCTGTAGTCTGTGATGGTCCCCTAAGTTCTTCTGTTTCCTTCTGTTTGACCTGTAGGGATTCCTGTAGTCTGTGATGGTCCCCTAAGTTCTTCTGTTTCCTTCTGTTTGACCTGTAGGGATTCCTGTAGTCTGTGATGGTCCCCTAAGTTCTTCTGTTTCCTTCTGTTTGACCTGTAGGGATTCCTGTAGTCTGTGATGGTCCCCTAAGTTCTTCTGTTTCCTTCTGTTTGACCTGTAGGGATTCCTGTAGTCTGTGATGGTCCCCTAAGTTCTTCTGTTTCCTTCTGTTTGACCTGTAGGGATTCCTGTAGTCTGTGATGGTCCCCTAAGTTCTTCTGTTTCCTTCTGTTTGACCTGTAGGGATTCCTGTAGTCTGTGATGGTCCCCTAAGTTCTTCTGTTTCCTTCTGTTTGACCTGTAGGGATTCCTGTAGTCTGTGATGGTCCCCTAAGTTCTTCTGTTTCCTTCTGTTTGACCTGTAGGGATTCCTGTAGTCTGTGATGGTCCCCTAAGTTCTTCTGTGTCCTTCTGTTTGACCTGTAGGGATTCCTGTAGTCTGTGATGGTCCCCTAAGTTCTTCTGTCTTCTGTTTGACCTGTAGGGATTCCTGTAGTCTGTGATTATGACCATCCGGGATCTTTTTGTCTACATCCTTTTCCAGGTCCCTTCTCATCTCTTTAACAATCTTTCTCACTATCTGTTCTATGTCTGTGGTTTCATTAATCCAGATGACAGTGCCTCCAAATCTCCCTTTATTGCTACATTATCCAGCTGTGTTTTGATCTTGGTCCTCCTTAATTTCCTTGTCCATAGCTAAGCTCTGCCTGGTTGTAAGTCCTTTTCAAACAGCAGCATGGTTACACTATTACACACTATTACATACAAGATAAGTAGACAGGTAGTTCAGGTATAGCTCAGATATAGTGGTGACACCAGTCAGTAGAATTCATCACTACTCACTTCACAATTGTAACAGAGGTCATTAATTTTTTTCAATGCCTGTGCTAGGAATCAAACCTGGGACCCCTGGCTTACTAGTATGACGCTCAACCAATCAAGCTAAAGAGAAATTTTCTCTAGCTGAGTGGTATATTGGGGCTAGTATTTTACCAGGGTTACATATATGTTGCCAAAGGTTTACCATTAAAAGTCAACAAATCTAGTAGAAATATCATGAAATTAAGTCTATATTCAGACACTAAATGTATCTCTACATGTCTGGTACAAAAGTTATTACTGAAGTCCACCTTAAACCAGCATGCATTCCATGAAGTATATCAGAGCAACATTAATATGTCTTGCCTACTCAGTGACCATAACTCAATAAAAATGTTGGCAACTTATCCAATCGTTAAAATTTATCATTGATAATTGAAAAAAATCTTCCAGTCCACTAGTTAAATGTACTTACCTATCTTTTCAGATAATTATCATTGTCCATTATGACGTCACATTATGATAGCTGCAATGTGCCACTTTAGCTCTGTTTTTATGTCAAAGTCGTCCTGATGAAGGCTGCCTTACAACCGAAACATGTCGGTGATGTCTGTACACCATTAAAAGAAGAACTGTTCTTGAATGTTGAGCATCCTTTATATCATCATTATTTTGAAAAATTTCTGTAAAATCAACCACCAAAGTTTGGTGTACGACAAGGTAATTTGGTAACCTCTTTTTATTTAAGTATATTTTCTGGCCTAGTTTGAGTTATCTCCCCTCTTTTCCAGCACTGTATAAACGTATGGAGGAACCATTACAACAGCAGCTATGATTGCACGGTCGTGTCGGTCACAACTCTACTACTTTGGTAGTAGGAATATCCGAGTGGCCATCTTGTTTGTTGTAGCCATTGCCATACTTCTGACTGCTCGGGATTATATTCGGTGAGTCCAGTCATTCTCTAATTTCAACTCTTTGTAAAGTTTTCTCCTTATCTCATAATCTGCTTGGATTTGACTGTCTGTTTAAGTTGACTGAATTTCTGTCTTGTTTCAATTTATGACATGAAATTAATTAATTAGTTAAATTAATTGAATATGATTGAATAAATAACATGTGTTTACTTAGTAAATTGAAAACAAGTGTGCTTGAACATAACTTCAAAAAGAATTTGACCTGCAAACTCACCATTGTTTAAATTTGACTACATCTTTTCACAGTTTTGGTATTTTTGTAAATAAAAATCTGTATTTTAAAGTTAATTATCTAACTTGTATCCAATTGACTTAGGCGGTATTGGTAGGCCATTGGTGCTAATGTTACTATTTTCTTTCTTACAGCTCCTCCAATACAGTTCAGTATCAGAAAGGTGGGTGTTCAGTGTAACAACTATCACAGGTCTGTTGTTCAGTGTACAGCTGGTAGAATACATTGTTAACTATTTTTCAATTCTTGATGTGTAGGTGTAACAATCGCTTTCACTCTCTGCATCCTCGATACTCCAGGTGTTACAATCGCTTTCACTCTCTACATCCTCGATACTCCAGGTGTTACAATCGCTTTCACTCTCTGCATCCTCGATACTCCAGGTGTTACAATCGCTTTCACTCTCTACATCCTCGATACTCCAGGTGTTACAATCGCTTTCACTCTCTACATCCTCGATACTCCAGGTGTTACAATCGCTTTCACTCTCTACATCCTCGATACTCCAGGTGTTACAATCGCTTTCACTCTCTGCATCCTCGATACTCCAGGTGTAACAATCGCTTTCACTCTCTACATCCTCGATACTCCAGGTGTTACAATCGCTTTCACTCTCTGCATCCTCGATACTCCAGGTGTTACAATCGCTTTCATTCTCTACATCCTCGATACTCCAGGTGTTACAATCGCTTTCACTCTCTACATCCTCGATACTCCAGGTGTTACAATCGCTTTCACTCTTTGCATCCTCAATACTCCAGGTGTTACAATCGCTTTCATTTTCTGCATCCTCGATACTCCAGGTGTTACAATCGCTTTCATTCTCTACATCCTCGATACTCCAGGTGTAACAATCGCTTTCACTCTCTGCATCCTCGATACTCCAGGTGTTACAATCGCTTTCACTCTTTGCATCCTCAATACTCCAGGTGTTACAATCGCTTTCACTCTCTACATCCTCGATACTCCAGGTGTTACAATCGCTTTCACTCTCTGCATCCTCAATACTCCAGGTGTTACAATCGCTTTCACTCTCTGCATCCTCAATACTCCAGGTGTTACAATCGCTTTCACTCTCTGCATCCTCGATACTCCAGGTGTTACAATCGCTTTCACTCTCTACATCCTCGATACTCCAGGTGTTACAATCGCTTTCACTCTCTACATCCTCGATACTCCAGGTGTTGCAATAGCTTTCTCTCTGTGTACCCTGGAACCATCCTCGATACTCCAGGGGTAATGATCTCTCACACTCTCTACACCCCTGGAACCATCCTCAATACTCCAGGGGTAACAATCACAATCTCTGTACCCCTGGAACCATCCTCAATACTCCAGGGGGTACAGTCACTTTCACTCTCTGTACCCCTGGAACCATCCTTGATACTCAAGGGGTTACGATCACTTTCACTCTCTGTACCCCTGGAACCATCCTTGATACTCCAGGGGTTACAATCACTTTCTCTCTCTGCATCCTTGATACTCCAGTCTAGTCTTCAAAAGGTGTCGCAAATAGCACCTTCAATCTTGCCATGAAATGTTTCAGGAATGGAGAGAGCAATAGTGAGTGTACCCCTTGAGTATTAATAATGGGTTTCCCAACCCCTGGGGTATCGAGAATGGGTTTTCAAGCCCCCGGGGTATTGATAATGGGTTTCCCGACCCCTAGGGTATCGAAAATGGGTTTCCCAACCCCTGGGGTATTGATAATGGATTTCCCAACCCCTGGGGTATTGATAATAGGTTTCCCAACCCGTGGGGTATTGATAATAGGTTGCCCAACCCCTGGGGTATCGAGAATGGGTTTCCAAGCCCCCGGGGTATTGATAATGGGTTTACCGACCCCTGGGGTATCAAAAATGGGTTTCCCAACCCCTGGGGTATTGATAATGGATTTCCCAACCCCTGGGGTATTGATAATGGATTTCCCAACCCCTGGGGTATTGATACTAGTTTTCCCAACCCCTGGGATATGGATAATGGATTTCCCAACCCCTGGGATATGGATACTGGGTTTCCCAACCCCTGGGGTATTGATAATGGGTTTCCCAACCCCTGGGGTATTGATAATGGGTTTCCCAACCCCTGGGATATGGATAATGGATTTCACAACCCCTGGGGTATTGATACTAGTTTTCCCAACCCCTGGGGTACTGATAATGAGTTTCCCAACCTCTGGGGTATTGATAATGGGTTTCCCAACCTCTGGGGTATTGATAATGGGTTTCCCAACCCCTGGGGTATTGATAATAGGTTTCCTAACCTGTGAGGTATTGATAATGGGTTTCCCAACCCTTGGGATATGGATAATGGATTTCCCAACCCCTGGGGTATTGATACTAGTTTTCCCAACCCCTGGGGTACTGATAATGGGTTTCCCATTGAATGTCATATATATTTCACTTGTGCTTTCACATTGTCAAAAATTTAAATATTCTGTCATACTTGTGAAATATCTATGATATTCAAAGAAAAAACCCAGGGATTTCAACGAACCAATTTCTGTAGAACCAGTAATACAATATTAAAACCTGCATGCGTCTCTGCGTTCCCCCCTGTATTCTTTACTATGTGTCTACTGTGCCTATGCAGAAAATGCAGGGCTCTTTATATAAAAGAAACACTTAGAGTATGTCATCTCTCAACATTTTTTTCCTTTTTTAAAATTGACAAATTAGAAAAATGAAGATAAATGTACTTTTTAAAACTTTCAGACCCTTTGATGTACTGTGTAAATAAAGTTTTCCCAGTATCATATGGTGAACGACTTACATCAGTGTTGTTTTTACTTTGGTTCTGTGAGGTGTTGTTTGTTTTATATGCTGTTTCTTTGTCTATTTGAAGCAAATAAAATGAGAAAATGGAACCCAGCACACAACAAGGATCTATTCCTAGTCCCAGGAGTGCGGCCTAAAGGTAGGTCAGCAATCCAGGTCATAGGTCACAAAAGCAGATCAGATAATCCAGGTCATAGGTCAAAAAAGTAGATAATGTAATCCAGGTCATAGATCACTAAAGTAGGTTAGTCAATTCAGGTCATAGGTCACAAAAGTAGGTCAGCGATTCAGATCATAAGTTGATAAGAAAGATGAGTTTATACCTTTTGTATATGGGTAATAGAATTTAAAAAATATTAAGAAATAAAAAAAAATCCTTACACATTATTTTTAAAACTGTCATTACAATAATTTGGCTTGTAGTATCTACATTATTCCTCAGGGTACATAATACATCATATAAACCACATCTGCTTCTCCCTCACTTCTTTACCATGTAAAATTGTCCAAAACTGTAAAAAGTGTCCTAAAAACTGCATGTGGAGTTGTCTTGATGAATATTTCTCCTTTTTTCAAAGTTCATCAAGTTCACCAAGCAAAACCAATGGACATGACCAAGATTCTAGCTAATGTGGTGCAGTCAGACGCCAAATCTCTGGAACACCCACTGCTCGCATTTCAAAATCCGGTCAACATTCAACATTCTAAAGAGAATGCCGCCACAGTAGAGTATATCTCCACCAAGATAAAAGTGGAAGTCGGTGTGATAACTAATTTAGAGAGTAACCTGACATGTTGGTTTCATATAACCTTAATAAACACTGGAAAGGCAGCTATTTCTTATGGAAAGTGGGAGATATATTTCCATTCCATTCGCTTTCTTCAGTTAGAAGATTTTCCGTACCCATCAGGAATTCTAATCAAGGATACTCCATTGCGTTTATTCCATGTTCAAGGATCCTTGTACCGTCTCATCCCTGAGGATGGACTATTCCACAGTTGGCCTGCAGGCAGTGAAATAACACTTCATTTGGAGGCTAAAGCTTACCTTATAGCCAGATCAGATTTCTTCCCAAACTGGTACGTGACAGCCCCCAAAGTCACACCTGTCCTCATCCAATCCACAACCAATGAGAATCTGGCATTCGTCGAAACATTTGACTCGCCCAGTAAATGGAAGCGACGGACGAGTGATCAGTATAATCCGTTTACTGCAGAGGATCGATTTAATAGAAATTTAGTGATACGTGATCTTGGACATCCAGGATCTCACATCGTTCCAACACCTTTCCAAGTTATCATTGATCCGTTGAAAAAAGTGGTCATAGACACAAAGACTTGGGTAATTCTCCAAAATCCTAAATTTTCTAAGGAAATAAGCTTCCTTGCTGGTAAGTAGCAGTGACATACTTATTTTCTTACAAAAGAGTACACACTTCAGTGACCTGTGGTCAAGGTCACACTGCCATAGGGTCAAGGTTATTGAGTCAAGTGTCAAGGTCAAATGTTGTAGCTGACACCTATTGGTATCCTAAGTGCTTTTCTATCTTAATGTTTCAGACGTCTATGTTTGGAACTTTGGAAGACATACCTACCGTTGAATTTTCTGAAAATTCCTCCCTGTAAAATTGGAAAACCACCTGTTTTAAGCTGTTGTAAGAAAGGCAAACCAAAAAACTGTAACTGACTTCAGTGTGAACACTTCTTACTGTTTGAGATCAATTTATTTTTAATTAGTAAGGAACTGTAAAGTAATGTGTGTGTAAGAATCAGATGCCAAAACGTTTGGGGAAATTTCTAACTTTAACTCATTCAAACAAACCATGGTTTTTATGAAGGGTTTTTGGAGCCAATAACGGGCTCCATATTTGATTGAAATACTTCATTTTTACAACAATGACATAGCTGCCGTTCTTCTGAAGGGAGCATGGTGTTGAGACATCTGCTTTCACTGATGAGGTGGTCGACAGCGGATCCTGATCTAAATTAGAACTGAGTCAGTGAAATCACAGTTAACATTACTTTCTTATTTATGTTATTTGTAATTTACCTATATCAGTTAACGCCTCTGAAGTTTTGTCCAGCTACTTGCACTGTATCTGGGCCAATGTATGTTTTCCTTGTCTTAATATGTACAAAGTAATACAATGTGTTTCAAATGTTTAAAAACAAACTTATTTACTTGGAAAACATGTCATCACCATCTACTGCGTAAATGTATTGCTTTTTATACTTTAACTTTGTTACTGTAAAATCTTTATTTTTTGAGGGTTTTTATTTTTTCATTCATTTGGTGGTAATCAACAAATTCATCCATCCATGAAATTTGAAGTGTTTACAAAATTTTTATGTAAAACAACGAAAATTGAGCCCTACAAAAATATCTGGTGTTACAGGATTTAAGTTTTTCATGAACATAGACTAGTACGTAAAGTCTCCTTGATGAACTCTTGCAGTTGAAATGAGAAAATAAAAGTTCCCTGAGATGAATTAAGCTTGAAAATTGTCTCATATTTCCAGATCTATTGAAACTGGAGATAAGCAGTGGAAAGCCTTCGGCTAATTACATAGAGTTTTTGGAAGACAAACTCCTACCTCTACGTCATACTTTGTCTACATTGAATGAAGCCTATTTTGTGGAAGTTCAATCAGATTCTGTAACCCTAGCAGCTAATGATCAGCCAGGAGCATTTTACGCAGCGATCACTCTGTACAGTTTAACACACAGAATCAGCAAAGGATCATGGGAAATTCCAGTTTGTGAGATCCTAGATCAGCCTCGTTTTACATATCGTGGCTTGCATTTAGATGTCGCTCGCAACTTCCAGTCCAAAGAGGAAATTTTGCGTCTCTTGAAGGTCATGTCAATGTACAAGTTGAACAAGCTGCACCTTCACTTATCAGATGACGAGGGCTGGAGACTAGAAATACCTGGTCTACCTGAGCTCACAGAGGTGAGCAATTTATTGACTTCAAATGACATTAACCATTGTGTATTTCATTATTTTAAGAAAAATATTACCTTTTTCATAGTTGGGAAAAATCATTGTCTTATTTCATAGTTTTTATGAACCTCTCTGTTATTTCATTCTTTTTTTTTTCTATTTCACGATCTTCAGATAACTGTTGTCTATTTCATGGTTTTGAGAAAACTGTTGTCTATTTCATGGTTTTGGGAAAACTGTTGTCTATTTCATGGTTTTGAGAAAACTGTTGTCTATTTCATGGTTTTGAGAAAACTGTTGTCTATTTCATGGTTTTGAGAAAACTGTTGTCTATTTCATGGTTTTGAGAAAACTGTTGTCTATTTCATGGTTTTGAGAAAACTGTTGTCTATTTCATGGTTTTGAGAAAACTGTTGTCTATTTCATGGTTTTGAGAAAACTGTTGTCTATTTCATGGTTTTGAGAAAACTGTTGTCTATTTCATGGTTTTGAGAAAACTGTTGTCTATTTCATGGTTTTGAGAAAACTGTTGTCTATTTCATGGTTTTGAGAAAACTGTTGTCTATTTCATGGTTTTGAGAAAACTGTTGTCTATTTCATGGTTTTGAGAAAACTGTTGTCTATTTCATGGTTTTGAGAAAACTGTTGTCTATTTCACAATCTTGAGAAAACTGTTGTCTATTTCATGGTTTTGAGAAAACTGTTGTCTATTTCATAGTTTTGAGAAAACTGTTGTCTATTTCATGATTTTCAGAAAACTGTTGTCTATTTCACAATCTTGAGAAAACTGTTGTCTATTTCATGGTTTTGAGAAAACTGTTGTCTATTTCATGGTTTTGAGAAAACTGTTGTCTATTTCATGGTTTTGAGAAAACTGTTGTCTATTTCACAATCTTGAGAAAACTGTTGTCTATTTCATGGTTTTGAGAAAACTGTTGTCTATTTCATAGTTTTGAGAAAACTGTTGTCTATTTCATGATTTTGAGAAAACTGTTGTTATTTCACAATTGAGAAAACTGTTGTCTATTTCATGGTTTTGAGAAAACTGTTGTCTATTTCATGGTTTTGAGAAAACTGTTGTCTATTTCACAATCTTGAGAAAACTGTTGTCTATTTCATAATTTTCAGAAAACTGTTGTCTATTTCACAATCTTGAGAAAACTGTTGTCTATTTCATGGTTTTGAGAAAACTGTTGTCTATTTCACAATCTTGAGAAAGCTGTTGTCTATTTCATGGTTTTGAGAAAACTGTTGTCTATTTCATGGTTTTGAGAAAACTGTTGTCTATTTCACAATCTTGAGAAAACTGTTGTCTATTTCATGATCTTGAGAAAACTGTTGTCTATTTCATGGTTTTGAGAAAACTGTTGTCTATTTCATGGTTTTGAGAAAACTGTTGTCTATTTCATGGTTTTGAGAAAACTGTTGTCTATTTTATGATCTTGAGAAAACTGTTGTCTATTTCATGGTTTTGAGAAAACTGTTGTCTATTTCATGGTTTTGCTAAATTTAAGAAATTTAAAACGAAAACCCTTCAGGTATAACAATACTACTGACACTAGTTTATAATGCATTCTGGTAATAATTAAAGTGCACATGGAGCACTTAGAACGTGGTATTTCATCAGAGCCATGATATACACACTATAAAACAGAAGACATCATTTTAACCTGTGGTTTATGGTGTTTTTCTCATTTGCCTGTTAACATTTCAATTAAAGCAACACCTCCTCTGAAACTTGTAAGCAGATTTTAACCAAATTTTAAAAATCGATAAATAATTCAAATGATATTGAGCCTTGACCTTGTAGGAATCATGAGGTCAATAGGGATTGTACTAAGGGGTTAAGATTCCTTGGTAGTTAGGTGACTTTCATGGAGAAAAGAGAGATATGAATTGAATGTTATCTTACACCCAGGGATGGAGTCAAAAGGAATTGACACCCTTGAGGACTTAATGGGTTAGGTCAATTTACGCTTTTGTGATTGAGGGGTCGGAGGTTTAAATGAACCAAGATTTGACAATACTCTGATCTTACTAAGCCGAAGTAGTCAAACTAAATCCTAGTATGTAAAAGTTAGTGATTTTTTCACCTGATTTCCAACTCTTTTTTTGTATAGTTTGGTTCAAAGCGTTGCCATGGTGATAAAAACAAGAAGTGCCTGTTCCCTCAGCTGGGATCAGGTCCTGAGGCTGTGTATCCAGGAACAGGTTACTACACTGTCAATGAATATCGCGAGATCCTGAAGTATGCAGCTTTACGTCACATACAAGTGATACCAGAGATTGACATGCCAGGACATGGTCAGGCGGCTGTAGTTGCTATGGAAGCACGTTACCATGACTACCAGGAGAAAGGACAAGGATTACAGGCCAGAAAGTACCTACTCAGTGACCTGGCTGATAAGTAAGTCCTTCACTATTTTGCTGATAGATTGAGAAAGTTTTGTGTTACAATTTCTCTAGTTCAGATTTTGACAAAGAGAGATTCAAGTTCGGGCAAATTTACAATGCCTCTTGAAAATATGTACATGAGGCAGAAGTAAAAGTTTTTTCACATTGTTTTTCCTGTCTGCACAGTCCTTTACTAGTTATTTCTGTGTTTTTGTGATAGGTCAGTTTACCTGTCTGTCCTTTACTAGTTATTTCTGTGTTTTTGTGATAGGTCAGTTTACCTGTCTGTCCTTTACTAGTTATTTCTGTGTTTTTGTGATAGGTCAGTTTACCTGTCTGTCCTTTACTAGTTATTTCTGTGTTTTTGTGATAGGTCAGTTTACCTGTCTGCCCAGTCCTTTACGAAGTCAGCTATCAATCCGTGCCTGGAGTCCACATATACCTTCATAAATCATGTGATGAAAGCATTGAAAGTCATGCACCGTGACATTCAACCTTTGATGTTATACCACTTTGGAGGTGATGAGGTACCAAATGGAGCTTGGGTTAATTCTTCTGCCTGTCTTTCAAGTTCGTTGCAGGTAAGTGTATTGTCCAGTTCATATTCTGTGGGGTCTTTATAGCGCACCTGCCCTGAAAGACCAAATGAACTATTGGAATTCCACGGTGTCCGTCGTTTGTCCATCAACTCATTTTTGTATAAAAAGTTGGTCTATGCCTTGTGGATTGGGAGGGGTGAAAATATGGAAAATAAAGCAAATTCTTTAAGATCATAGTCCTCCTGTAGAAGTGATTGAATTTTGTTCACATTTGGTCTGAAGCATACTGTAGTGAATGGAAAGCAATTTGGTATTATCAATGGGTTTTGGCCCCTTGGCGTATTGACAGTGGGTTTTGGGCTCAATATTGGAATAAGGGCAAATTCTTTAAAATCTGACCCCTTCAGTTTAAATGATTTAGTCTGAAGTATGGATGGTTTGGCTGACCCCTGAAGTTTAAATGATTTAGTCTGAAGTATGGATGGTTTGGCTGACCCCTTCAGTTTAAATGATTTAGTCTGAAGTATGGATGGTTTGGCTGACCCCTTCAGTTTAAATGATTTAGTCTGAAGTATGATGGTTTTGACCCCTTCAGTTTAAATGATTTAGCCCCTTGAAGTATTGACAGTGGGTTTTGGCCCCCTTCAGTTTAAATGATTTAGTCTGAAGTATGGATGGTTTGGCTGACCCCTTCAGTTTAAATGATTTAGTCTGAAGTATGGATGGTTTGGCTGACCCCTTCAGTTTAAATGATTTAGTCTGAAGTATGGATGGTTTGGCTGACCCCTTCAGTTTAAATGATTTAGTCTGAAGTATGGATGGTTTGGCTGACCCCTTCAGTTTAAATGATTTAGTCTGAAGTATGGATGGTTTGGCTGACCCCTTCAGTTTAAATGATTTAGTCTGAAGTATGGATGGTTTGGCTGACCCCTTCAGTTTAAATGATTTAGTCTGAAGTATGGATGGTTTGGCTGACCCCTTCAGTTTAAATGATTTAGTCTGAAGTATGGATGGTTTGGCTGACCCCTTCAGTTTAAATGATTTAGTCTGAAGTATGGATGGTTTGGCTGACCCCTTCAGTTTAAATGATTTAGTCTGAAGTATGGATGGTTTGGCTGACCCCTTCAGTTTAAATGATTTAGTCTGAAGTATGGATGGTTTGGCTGACCCCTTCAGTTTAAATGATTTAGTCTGAAGTATGGATGGTTTGGCTGACCCCTTCAGTTTAAATGATTTAGTCTGAAGTATGGATGGTTTGGCTGACCCCTTCAGTTTAAATGATTTAGTCTGAAGTATGGATGGTTTGGCTGACCCCTTCAGTTTAAATGATTTAGTCTGAAGTATGGATGGTTTGGCTGACCCCTTCAGTTTAAATGATTTAGTCTGAAGTATGGATGGTTTGGCTGACCCCTTCAGTTTAAATGATTTAGTCTGAAGTATGGATGGTTTGGCTGACCCCTTCAGTTTAAATGATTTAGTCTGAAGTATGGATGGTTTGGCTGACCCCTTCAGTTTAAATGATTTAGTCTGAAGTATGGATGGTTTGGCTGACCCCTTCAGTTTAAATGATTTAGTCTGAAGTATGGATGGTTTGGCTGACCCCTTCAGTTTAAATGATTTAGTCTGAAGTATGGATGGTTTGGCTGACCCCTTCAGTTTAAATGATTTAGTCTGAAGTATGGATGGTTTGGCTGACCCCTTCAGTTTAAATGATTTAGTCTGAAGTATGGATGGTTTGGCTGACCCCTTCAGTTTAAATGATTTAGTCTGAAGTATGGATGGTTTGGCTGACCCCTTCAGTTTAAATGATTTAGTCTGAAGTATGGATGGTTTGGCTGACCCCTTCAGTTTAAATGATTTAGTCTGAAGTATGGATGGTTTGGCTGACCCCTTCAGTTTAAATGATTTAGTCTGAAGTATGGATGGTTTGGCTGACCCCTTCAGTTTAAATGATTTAGTCTGAAGTATGGATGGTTTGGCTGACCCCTTCAGTTTAAATGATTTAGTCTGAAGTATGGATGGTTTGGCTGACCCCTTCAGTTTAAATGATTTAGTCTGAAGTATGGATGGTTTGGCTGACCCCTTCAGTTTAAATGATTTAGTCTGAAGTATGGATGGTTTGGCTGACCCCTTCAGTTTAAATGATTTAGTCTGAAGTATGGATGGTTTGGCTGACCCCTTCAGTTTAAATGATTTAGTCTGAAGTATGGATGGTTTGGCTGACCCCTTCAGTTTAAATGATTTAGTCTGAAGTATGGATGGTTTGGCTGACCCCTTCAGTTTAAATGATTTAGTCTGAAGTATGGATGGTTTGGCTGACCCCTTCAGTTTAAATGATTTAGTCTGAAGTATGGATGGTTTGGCTGACCCCTTCAGTTTAAATGATTTAGTCTGAAGTATGGATGGTTTGGCTGACCCCTTCAGTTTAAATGATTTAGTCTGAAGTATGGATGGTTTGGCTGACCCCTTCAGTTTAAATGATTTAGTCTGAAGTATGGATGGTTTGGCTGACCCCTTCAGTTTAAATGATTTAGTCTGAAGTATGGATGGTTTGGCTGACCCCTTCAGTTTAAATGATTTAGTCTGAAGTATGGATGGTTTGGCTGACCCCTTCAGTTTAAATGATTTAGTCTGAAGTATGGATGGTTTGGCTGACCCCTTCAGTTTAAATGATTTAGTCTGAAGTATGGATGGTTTGGCTGACCCCTTCAGTTTAAATGATTTAGTCTGAAGTATGGATGGTTTGGCTGACCCCTTCAGTTTAAATGATTTAGTCTGAAGTATGGATGGTTTGGCTGACCCCTTCAGTTTAAATGATTTAGTCTGAAGTATGGATGGTTTGGCTGACCCCTTCAGTTTAAATGATTTAGTCTGAAGTATGGATGGTTTGGCTGACCCCTGAAGGACATACGGATGGTGGCCAATAGGAAAATATAGTTACTTATGATAAAGGAAGATGATTAAATGTACAGTTGATCCCTAGATAATCTGGACTCCATTTTTCCTGGCAGAAATTGTCTGAATTACGAGTTTTCCGGCGTGCCGTGTATAGACAATCAATATAATAGAGTAGATGTATGATATTTACTGTGAATACAGGTATTTGTAAATGTCTTTCACTGTCTGAGTAAATTTCATGATTAATTGTATTTATGGCTTAAAGTTTCCACACTGAAAATTATTACTCCTTAAAGACTGACTCATCGACAGTCTACTCTGTATCAACAGTGATGTTTCATTCAGAAATAGTGAAGAAACCTTTCTATCTGAAAATGATACGTACAGGGTATTTACGTGTGTTTTGGTGCTATTCTGATGCTATTTTTAATAAGACAAGTTGTCGTCTAGAACGACCCTATTTTCAGAATCAAGTGAGTCAGTTAAACATACTATATATATCTAATACAAGTTGAACACATTTGAAAGCAGTAATATGCTGTAATTTAAACCTGAGAATATTTTCATTCAATTTACTTTCATATGCATCACTGTACTGAAGATGGAAATCTGTATCGTGTTTATCTATGTTAAATATGTGGAAGTATTAAGGTATTCCCACCCTAATGGACCACTTCCAGTTATAATCCCGACGAATGCCGATGTTTTATAGATCGTGAATTTTTGGAAGTCATAGAGTTGACGTTAACGAATCACAAGGCATTTTAAAACATGCTACTGCTGAAAATATTGCAGGCTCTGGCTTAAACTTCCAACATCTAAAAAATAATATTCCAAAGGTATGGTGAAAATGGTCTGAAAGCAATATTTGTGCAAAAGAACTGTAATGGACAGCCGCGGATCTCTTTTGCAAAGCGTGTTCTGGATTCTGTAATTCAAAAGCTTGTTGAACTGTTTGAAAAGTAGGATAAAAATAAACTTTTTATATAGCTGTAATGGTAAAACTTTTTTTGTGCAATAAGGACTTGATTTCTTATTCGTTTTTGTTACATAATGAATTATGTGGTCATAATCGGGGTCAAGGTCAGAGGTCAAGGTAAGAAGATATCAGAAATAGTTAATTTTATTACTATTCTACTTGTAGCCTTCAAAGAGTTTGGCTATCATGCTATTGTAAGCAATTTTCCTGAAATCTAATGAGTCATCGAAATTAGGGGGGTAGGGGTATTAAAACTTAGAAATATCTAATTATATGTGGTAAAAGTTTCTAAAAGTTATTTGAAAATTTGCAGAAGGTGTGCCAACAAGTATTTAAACAGATTTTTCATTTGAAAACTCTCTTGTCACATTCAGTTTACCTTACAAAGTGTCTTTGTCACTTTTCTAAGATTGACAACGAGGGTACCGAGATAACACTTTTTCACATATCATACATTATATATGAATATGACATGAATATCAGCTATTTCATTATTCATTGCTGTTATTATGGAATGTAAAAACACATGTTTTTGTTTGAAATTAAGTTTTTTATTGGGCATACACTAATATTTTTATTGTATCCAACCAGCATGCTATGTGACACCATTAAAGTACTTAAATTTTTGTTAGATAAAAAAACTATATATGGTCAGTAATGGAGTATACATTGTGATCTTTATGAATTAGGTGACAATTTTGATTTTTGGTTTTGTCCCTATTAAAAGGCTTTGGCTGAATACCTGAAGTATCAATTAAACCTTACTTTGCATTTTTATAATTCATATCAAGTGTTCTTTATATTTTCATCATTTCATCGCATGAGTGATTTACATTTATTTAACCTTACATCCCAGTTCTCATCAATTAGTGGTGTTCCGATTCAACCACTTTCCGAGTATCACTCGTTTCTAATTGAGTTTTGTGTCTTCAGAGGGCTATTATTATCATGTTCTTAACGGCCCGTCAACACATTAAAAGTCACAAGGCCATCAAACGGTAAAGGGATTGTCATCAGAGGGTGACCAACATGATGATGTATTATAGTATATTAGCTGATTGTTAAAACACAAGGGAAGAATTTGTCAGTATCGATTGCTTGATCACATTTGTCTCTTATATCACATGAAATACAAGCATCAAGATGACTGAAACACCACACTAAGTAGTATGAACAAATGTAAACAATCAGATGAACAACATTTGATAGCTGTCATGCTTCATCGGTCAACTTTTTCTTTAACACCCTACTCCTCTTTCATACCAGGATGGATTTCAACCAAATTTGGTCTGATGCATTATTTGGTGAGGGTAACTTTCAGAATTTTGATTGAACCCCATGGGTCAAACACAGAGCCCCAAAGGGGGAGGTGCTGAAATTAGATTTAATACCCTATCCCTACTTTCTGCGTGGGTGGTTTTCAGCAAACTTTAGCCTGATTCATCAATTAAGATAAGCAATTATTTCTTAAATTCAGGAATTTGATTTGACCCCCAGGGACTTTGGGGCAGGGATCGGGGCCCCAAAAGACCAGATTTTGATTCAAAATGCTATTCTTTCTTAATGCTTGAATGGATTTCAACCAAATTTTGTCTAAAGTTTCATGGATAGTGAGGAATCATTTCTTAAATTCAGAAAGTTGATGTGATGTGTAGTTAATAGGAATGACCTTGATCCGCCTGAAAGGTCACAGTGATCAAATATGTTAAAATCTTAAAATGACTTCTCAATAACCAAAAGGCAAAGGATGATGATATTAGGCCTGTAGCAGGCTAGGATGAAGGGCTACCAACTTTGTTAATATAAATGACATTGACCCACTTTCAAGGTCAACATGTATCAAATGTGTTGAAATGTTTAAATGACTTCTTCTCAATAACCAAAAGGACCCGGGTGCTGATATTGGATCTCTTTCAAGGTCATAGGGGTAAAATATGTTGAAATATTTAAGTAAGGGTCTTGATATTAGGCCTGTAGCTTGCTTTATCAACATGCAATATGTCTGGAGCATTGGCAATTGTGTAGTGCATGCACACAGAATATGATTTCAGGTTTGCAGAAAATGTTTTGATGAACCAACAATGTATTCTATGTAAAGTGTAGAGAAGTTGAGCAATTTACTTTAGGCCTATTTTGCCTCTTTCATATATAGGTCTTTATAGTCAGATCGTTAAGTCCCATGGGGCCTCTTGTTTGATGACATCAACAGGCCAAAGCATGGCGAACTCAGAGGAACTCCTAATTCTGTAAGAATACAGCCCATGGATTTTGATCCAAACTGTAATAGTTTGAGATACAGTCCTACAGTTTGTGATCCACACTGTATGATTTTACATACAGCCCTACAGTTTGTGATCCACATTGTATAGTTTTACATACAGCCCTACAGTTTGTGATCCACACTGTATGGTTTTACATACAGCCCTACAGTTTGTGATCCACACTGTATGGTTTTACATACAGTTTGTGATCCACACTGTATGGTTTTACATACAGCCCTACAGTTTGTGATCCACACTGTATGGTTTTACATACAGCCCTACAGTTTGTGATCCACACTGTATGGTTTTACATACAGTTTGTGATCCACACTGTATGGTTTTACATACAGCCCTACAGTTTGTGATCCACACTGTATGGTTTTACATACAGCCCTACAGTTTGTGATCCACACTGTATGGTTTTACATACATACAGTTTGTGATCCACACTGTATGGTTTTACATACAGTTTGTGATCCACACTGTATGGTTTTACATACAGCCCTACAGTTTGTGATCCACACTGTATGGTTTTACATACAGCCCTACAGTTTGTGATCCACACTGTATGGTTTTACATACAGCCCTACAGTTTGTGATCCACACTGTATGGTTTTACATACAGCCCTACAGTTTGTGATCCACATTGTATGGTTTTACATACAGTTTGTGATCCACACTGTATGGTTTTACATACAGTTTGTGATCCACACTGTATGGTTTTACATACAGCCCTACAGTTTGTGATCCACACTGTATGGTTTTACATACAGCCCTACAGTTTGTGATCCACAATGTATGGTTTTACATACAGCCCTACAGTTTGTGATCCACACTGTATGGTTTTACATACAGTTTGTGATCCACACTGTATGGTTTTACATACAGCCCTACAGTTTGTGATCCACACTGTATGGTTTTACATACAGTTTGTGATCCACACTGTATGGTTATACATACAGCCCTACAGTTTGTGATTGTGATCCACACTGTATGGTTTTACATACAGCCCTACAGTTTGTGATCCACACTGTATGGTTTTACATACAGTTTGTGATCCACACTGTATGGTTTTACATACAGTTTGTGATCCACACTGTATGGTTTTACATACAGCCCTACAGTTTGTGATCCACACTGTATGGTTATACATACAGCCCTACAGTTTGTGATCCACACTGTATGGTTTTACATACAGTTTGTGATCCACACTGTATGGTTTTACATACAGCCCTACAGTTTGTGATCCACACTGTATGGTTTTACATACAGTTTGTGATCCACACTGTATGGTTTTACATACAGTTTGTGATCCACACTGTATGGTTTTACATACAGTTTGTGATCCACACTGTATGGTTTTACATACAGTTTGTGATCCACACTGTATGGTTTTACATACAGTTTGTGATCCACACTGTATGGTTTTACATACAGTTTGTGATCCACACTGTATGGTTATACATACAGCCCTACAGTTTGTGATCCACACTGTATGGTTTTACATACAGTTTGTGATCCACACTGTATGGTTTTACATACAGTCCTACAGTTTGTGATCCACATTGTATGGTTTTACATACAGCCATACAGTTTGTGATCCACACTGTATGGTTATACATACAGCCCTACAGTTTGTGATCCACACTGTATGGTTTTACATACAGTTTGTGATCCACACTGTATGGTTATACATACAGCCCTACAGTTTGTGATCCACATTGTATGGTTTTACATACAGCCATACAGTTTGTGATCCACACTGTATGGTTATACATACAGCCCTACAGTTTGTGATCCACACTGTATGGTTTTACATACAGTTTGTGATCCACACTGTATGGTTTTACATACAGTCCTACAGTTTGTGATCCACATTGTATGGTTTTACATACAGCCCTACAGTTTGTGATACACACTGTATGGTTATACATACAGCCCTACAGTTTGTGATCCATACTGTATGGTTTTACATACAGCCCTACAGTTTTTGATCCACACTGTATGGTTATACATACAGCCCTACAGTTTGTGATCCACATTGTATGGTTTTACATACAGCCCTACAGTTTGTGATCCACATTGTATGGTTATACATACAGCCCTACAGTTTGTGATCCACACTGTATGGTTTTACATACAGTTTGTGATCCACACTGTATGGTTTTACATACAGCCCTACAGTTTGTGATCCACACTGTTTGGTTTTACATACAGTTTGTGATCCATACTGTATGGTTTTACATACAGCCCTACAGTTTTTGATCCACACTGTATGGTTATACATACAGCCCTACAGTTTGTGATCCACATTGTATGGTTTTACATACAGCCCTACAGTTTGTGATCCACATTGTATGGTTATACATACAGCCCTACAGTTTGTGATCCACACTGTATGGTTTTACATACAGTTTGTGATCCACACTGTATGGTTTTACATACAGCCCTACAGTTTGTGATCCACACTGTTTGGTTTTACATACAGTTTGTGATCCACACTGTTTGGTTTTACATACAGCTCTACAGTTTGTGATCCACACTGTATGGTATTACATACAGCCCTACAGTTTGTGATCCACACTGTATGATTTTACATACAGCCCTACAGTTTGTGATCCACATTGTATGGTTTTACATACAGTTTGTGATCCACACTGTTTGGTTTTACATACAGCCGTACATTTTGTGATCCACACTGTATGGTTTTACATACAGCCCTACAGTTTGTGATCCACACTGTATGGTTTTACATACAGTTTGTGATCCACACTGTATGGTTTTTACATACAGATCCACACCTACAGTTTGTGATCCACACTGTTTGGTTTTACATACAGTTTGTGATCCACACTGTTTGGTTTTACATACAGCTCTACAGTTTGTGATCGACACTGTATGGTATTACATACAGCCCTACAGTTTGTGATCCACACTGTATGGTTTTACATACAGCCCTACAGTTTGTGATCCACATTGTATGGTTTTACATACAGCCCTACAGTTTGTGATCCACACTGTATGGTATTACATACAGCCCTACAGTTTGTGATCGACACTGTATGGTTTTACATACAGTTTGTGATCGACACTGTATGGTTTTACATACAGCCCTACAGTTTGTGATCGACACTGTATGGTTTTACATACAGCCCTACTGTCAGTGATCAACACAGTGTATGATTTTGCTATTTACAAATGATTGCCTGAGATGATGAATTAACAACAAGGCACTTTGCCAGTTATACACCAAAGATATATCAGTAGGTGTTAAGATATCATTTGGACTGTGACCACGAGAATGAAAAAACCAAAGAATCTATGCAGCCTTCACCAGGAAATAAAAATTGATGAAGATCTTGATGAAGATCTTGTATATGACACTATCAGCACTAAAGAATGTGGAAGTGATAATGAAATGTACTGATTTACCTCCCTTTTTTACAGCCAGACGTAGGGAACCCCAGAAATATACTGATTTACCTCCCTTTTTTACAGCCAGACGTAGGGGACCTCCAGATATGTACTGATTTACCTCCCTTTTTTACAGCCAGACGTAGGGAACCCCAGAAATGTACTGATTTACCTCCCTTTTTTACAGCCAGACGTAGGGGACCTCCAGATATGTACTGATTTATCTCCCCTTTTTATAGCCAGATGTAAGGGAACCCAGAAATGTACTGATTTACCTCCCTTTTTTACAGCCAGACGTAGGGGACCTCCAGATATGTACTCATTTACCTCCCTTTTTTACAGCCAGACATAGGGGACCCCCAGAAATGTACTGATTTACCTCCCTTTTTTACAGCCAGACGTAGGGGACCCCCAGAAATGTACTGATTTACCTCCCTTTTTTACAGCCAGACGTAGGGGACCCCCAGAAATGGAAGGAATACTTTGTGACCAGAATTGCTAGGATGGCGAAACAGGATGATCTAGAACTGGGTGTGTGGGAGGATGGTATAGTGGATCACAACACTTCGGAGCCGTACAACCAAGACATGTTGGGCTCTATGGTAGGGTATGTATCTTATTCTCTACATTTCGGAGCCATACAACCAAGACATGTTGGGCTCTATGGTGGGGTATGTATCTTATTCTCTACATTTCGGAACCGTACAACCAAGACATGTTGGGCTCTATGATACAGACTTGATACAGCTTTTGATTTTGAATGAGAGCTTAGTCCTTGAGTTAAATTTAGGTTGGGGAAAATAAACTTAAAATTAATGAAAATATAAAGTGAATAATAAAAAAATTGAGTTTAAAATTGGTGGAGGGTGGGGATGGGGATTGGAGTTGGGGATGTGGGGTTGGCATGGGATGGGCTGAGGGTTGGGTGGGATGGGATGGGATGGGGTAGGGCTGAGATGGGTTGGGATGGGGTGGGGTAGAGGTGACGATGGGATGGGATGAGGTGAGGGTGGGGAGGGGTAGGGCTGAGGGCGGGGTGGGGTGGGATGGGGGAGATAATGGTGAGGGTGGGTTGGGGTGGGGTAGGGGTAGGGGTGTTGTCTAATAGATACATAAAACCAGTACTAACAGTGATAACATGAAGCGTTAATTGCACACCTGTATTTTGTTTTTGTGGCTATCGACAAAATTAAAATAAAACAAAACTTTTAAGTGAAAAATTTCTGTATTAAGTTATTTGATATCAATGAAAATTAATTTTCTGTAATTTTTGATAAAGAATGATAAAAGCCACAAAAATTTCATATTGAATGACAATAAATGTAACATGTAATTTTCTGTGTGTTACAGGCATATTTACACCTATCCCTGGAACAACAAGTGGGAATCTGGTACTGGAAACCAGGCCTACAGACTCGCCAACTCAGGCTACAAGGTGAGACAACCATGTACTAGTGTCTATCAGAGTTGTCCTTCCTTAACAGTCACAATACGCCTCCGTTAATGGTCCACGGACTTCTAATGTCAATCTCTATCAGAGTTGTCCTTCCTTAACAGTCACAATACGCCTCCGTAAACAATCTCTATCAGAGTTGTTCGTCCTTTACAGTCACAATACGCCTCCGTAAACGGTCCATGGACTACTAATGTCAATCTCTATCAGAGTTGTTCGTCCTTTACAGTCACAATACACCTCCGTAAACAATCTCTATCAGAGTTGTCCTTCCTTTACAGTCACAATACACCTCCGTAAACAATCTCTATCAGAGTTGTCCTTCCTTTACAGTCACAATACGCCTCCGTAAACGGTCCATGGACTACTAATGTCAATCTCTATCAGAGTTGTTCGTCCTTTACAGTCACAATACGCCTCAGTTAACGGTCCACGGACTACTAATAGTTAACCTGAAGGTCAGGGTCAAATTTTGACAGCAAGCTGCATCTCTATCAACAGTAGCGAAGAATACATCTGTAGATTGTTTTTTATGTCATTGATTAATGTAAACAAATAAAATCCATGCTTTAAGGAAGGAAATACGTCGATAATGTAGCTGAATTACCATCAGTTATCACTGATGTCACCGTACACCAACATGTATACAACATGTCAGTAGTTGAAAGCAAAAATACAAAATACAAACACAACAGTGATGAACTTTTGCTCATCATAATTCTTCCCCGAAAGCTGAAAAATAATGAAACAATTTTTTATATATTAAAATGGTGTTGGCCGTTAACTGATTATGTAGGGTAATGTAATGGATTCTGGGAGAGATTGCTACAGTTGATATCAATACAGGCGTTAAAATCAGGATTTGTAAAGAAATAGGGGTAGGCAGCGAATCTATTTTCAGAACTTAACAGATAAGAACCTTTATTATTGATAGGATATGAGAAGATAGAAAAAGATTTGGCTTCAACTTTCTAGCACACCATCATCAGATGATTGGCAGACCAAATTGCCTTTTGTCAGAGGTGTGTTACCCATGCATTGTCCGATATACTGGATTAATAAGAATTGAAAATATGATCAACAGACAACCATCTTGGATTTTGATGGTTATAACTTGTAATCACTGTTTTCTTAGCAGTTCTAGAAATGTTATTCTCAAATTTCATTTGTAGGTTCCCCAAAGCCCGCAAGCCTCTATATTGTTTGTTTATAGAATGGATTACACTTACCAAGTTGTATATGTTAATAAGTGTACCTTTACCTCAGGATTATCCTTTACTTTGATGTAGGTTATCCTTGGTGCATAGTTGGTTTTTGGAGTGATGAAAAAAATGCAAAAGATTCAGCAGCAAAAAAAAAAAAATTAAGATAATAAACCATATATTTTGTATATATTGGCAAGGAAAATATTAAAACTTGAAGATGAGTGTCATAAAATCACATATGAAAGAAAATAAATATAAGATACTTTTATCACATAATTCAGAAAAGTTAGTTATTGATCGGTTTTCAGTAATTAATATTAGTACAAAATTAAATGGAGCCAGCCATTATTGTGTCATTTTCATCTTATGACATCACAATCAATTTCTGACAGACACAGCCAATAAAAAACATTCGAGGTAATATGACACTAGTAACATTTGAATTCTCTGGATAACAGGCAGGTATGTGATAAATGGTCCTTCCTTTTCTAAATTTTGGACTAATTATCTCCCTTGTTCTTCAGGTTGTGATGTCACAGGGTACTCACCTGTACTTCGACCATACCCAGGAACCTGATCCCGAGGAGGTTGGCCTTTACTGGGCGACACGCTTCATTGATTTGCACCATGTGTTTTCCTTTATCCCTCAGCAGATATACTGGAATGCAGATATCTCCAGATATGGCAACCCACTTACCAAGGATGAGATCTGTAACTGGGGAGAGTGTCTTACGCTCCAGCAGCCAGAAAACATTGTTGGTAGGTATAATTATCTCCCTTGATGCACATCTTCAAATTTAAGTCTGATTATCTCCCTGATGTACATCTTCAAATTTAAGTCTGATTATCTCCCTTGATGTACATCTTCAAAAATTTACCTCTATTTATCTCCTTTGGTGCACATCTTCAAATTTAAGTCTGATTCTCTCCCTTGGTGCACATCTTTAAATTTAAAACCGATTATCTCCCTTGATGCACATATTCAAATTTATGTTTGATAGTATTTAAATGTGATGTTACAATATAAAGTCGTTGAATTGTAATTTTTCTCTCAGTATTTGCCAATTATTGAAGAATCAAACGAAACTTGATCCAAGATATTTTGTCAGTCATTAGAGTAAACGTTTCAACATATATTAATCAATCTTGTTGGTATGGATGGAAGCATGGAAGGGATCTTACTGTGAGTGGGAACCCGACTACCCGTGGAAAACCCTTGTGGTAGGGCAGGTGACCCCGTACATTATCAGTGTGCCACCCAACCACCATTGTGTATCATTTGTCTCCCATCATAGTGAAGTGATCAATCTAGAACTTGGATTCCTCGATCAAAGCTGTTGATGACTTGATCTTCAATTAATAAATAACATTGTACTTGATACAACGACAGCTATGTTAGAATGATTTCAGAGGCTGTTGAAATCAATGATTCCATAGATGTGTCATCAGTTTGGGATTCTGAACAGTAAACAGCTTGTATGTAAGTGGGAAGAGGTTGATAAGAAAATGCCCTTTTCCTTCTGAATAGATGTCTGTTTACCACAAACAGTTCAGCCAGAAGACATTCTTCTTCTTCTTTTGAACAGATGTCTGTTTACCACAACTAGTTCAGCCAGAAGACATTCTTCTTCTTCTTCTGAATAGATGTCTGTTTACCACAACTAGTTCAGCCAGAAGACATTCTTCTTCTTCTTCTGAACAGATGTCTGTTTACCACAACTAGTTCAGCCAGAAGACATTCTTCTTCTTCTGAATAGATGTCTGTTTACCACAACTAGTTCAGCCAGAAGACATTCTTCTTCTTCTGAATAGATGTCTGTTTACCACAACTAGTTCAGCCAGAAGACATTCTTCTTCTTCTGAACAGATGTCTGTTTACCACAACTAGTTCAGCCAGAAGACATTCTTCTTCTTCTGAATAGATGTCTGTTTACCACAACTAGTTCAGCCAGAAGACATGAACAGATGTCTGTTTACCACAACTAGTTCAGCCAGAAGACATTCTTCTTCTTCTGAGTAGATGTCTGTTTACCACAACTAGTTCAGCCAGAAGACATTCTTCTTCTTCAGAACAGATGTCTGTTTACCACAACTAGTTCAGCCAGAAGACATTCTTCTTCTTCAGAACAAATGTCTTGTTACCACAACTAGTTCAGCCAGAAGACATTCTTCTTCTTCTGAACAGATGTCTGTTTACCACAACTAGTTCAGCCAGAAGACATTCTTCTTCTTCAGAACAGATGTCTGTTTACCACAACTAGTTCAGCCAGAAGACATTCTTCTTCTTCTGAATAGATGTCTGTTTACCACAACTAGTTCAGACCAGAAAACTTTCTTCCTTTTCTGAACAGATGTCTGTTTACCACAACAAATTATATACTTTAGCTACCAGAAGAAAATATTTCCAGCTTATTTCTTTCATTGTTTGACTCTTATGTGACTAAAGTGTCCTTGACCTATAGGTATGGAGTGCCATCTGTGGGGAGAATTGTTGAGGTCACGTGACATCACAGACCATCAGATGTTTCCACGAGTCATCGCAATGGCAGAGAGAGCATGGCACCAAGCTCCCTGGGAAAGTGAGAGTGACGCCGCAGCACGACAAACACAAATGAATGCTGATTGGTTGAGATTTGCCAACACTGTTGGGTACAAAGAATATCCATACCTGGACAGTCTCGGTATCAAGTACAGAATCCCGCCTCCAGGGGCTGTGTAAGTATTTTTTCACATTGATAATAAAGAGAAATCATTAAATCTGGTCGGGGCGACTTGGCCCAAATGTGAATATTCTTCGTTGATTAAAAAAAAAGGCATCAAATACAGCTTCATTATGTGTACATTTCTACAATGTAGATGTTAGAGCTGGTTAATAATCTCTGACTAACATAATAACAAATTGTTAACAGAATGGTAATTACCAGAATCAAGCAATTTAGAAATGTAAACATTTTGTTTAAAGTCACAAACAAACATAAAATCAATGGGTTTTTTTTTAAGCTTTCATGTGAAATGTTCATAACTTGGTATTTTTCAGGGTAAATAACAAGAAGTTGTTGGTCAATAGTGATGCCCCCGGCCTGGAGATCCAGTACAGCCTTGATTTTGGCAATACCTGGCAGGATGCTAGGGGAGGTCCTGAACTCACAGGGGATGCCACCATCTTCCTCAGGACAATGTAAGTCTCTGGCCTAGCTGACCAGGAGTTATTTCCCTTTAATTTGTATCCTAAAGCCTATCTCTACTATAAGAGATGAGAACCTTATTCCTGTTTACAGTAGTGAAAAGTAGTATCTATCTGTGCTGGCACAGAGATGTGTTGACCTTGCCAGGATTAACAGATATTGATGATTAAATATCGTGTAAAGTCATACACAAGTACAAGCAGATTTGTTCAGCCAAAATGTTCACAAAAGAAAGATTAAAAAAAAAACGTGATAATTGAACCACACAAAAAACATGTAATTTTTTATTAATTTTTTTTTAACCCCTGTGCTGTGATGTTTGGGTGGGAGAATACCACTGGAATCAGCTTGTATGTCTGTCTGTCCTTCGAAAAATTTGTTCAGACAAGTCCTCCTAATCTTCTGGGTTGATTTCAAAGAAACGAATGTTGGGAACCATGTGTAGATGTGCATGCAACATTTTCGTTTCCAGCAAAATATTGGTTGCCTTGGTAACCAGTCAGTATAATAGGATTTTGTTTGTAAATTTTGTCTGGAGAAGTTTTCCTAAACAAATGTACCAGTTTCATTCTTATGACACATTAATGTTAGGTACAATGTGTAATTGTGCATGCATCCAATTTTAAACAAAAATGTGTGGTTGCCTTGGTAATTGGCCGATCAACAGCTTTTAATTGACAGCGCGGTTTAGCCAATCAGATCGCGGGTAGTATTCGCCTCTTTGTTTACGTTTCGCTACTCCGACATTCTCTGACAATGGTGAAACATTGCTGCTGGGGAACTTGCAACACCGATTCTCGCTACTCAGTGCGATGCGATTAGAGAGAGTTGTTGTGTTCATACCGTTTCCCAAATCTTAGACGAAGCATGAGAAGTGCAAATCTTGGCTCCGATTGTGCGGACGGCCTTAATATCAACTTAACGAGGAGATCCTGCGGTGTCCTTCTAGATCAAAGCATATTTTTTTTTTATTTTTATGTCTGCTCAAAAGTGCGTAAATATTCACAGACTCACGTGTACAATATTTCAATGAACATCAGTATTTTTTTCTCACTCAAAATTTTGCTAGCATAAGTTTTGTAATCCTCTCTCATGTGCTAATAAGCCGCATGTTAATGTGTGTATTTATAAACAAGCTTGATTTCGGACTGACCATTTTCGGATATTTATTGACTGAAGGGAAATGAAATTATCTGGACATGTTTCTGCTCTTTTACAAAGTTTTACTTTGTGAATGGTCTGTGATAATATGAGTGTTTACTGTTATGGTTAAACAGTTGAAATGAAATCTTAAAGTCTTCCAATAAGGTATTAACATTCTTGATGAAAAAAAAACATTAACATGATATACATAAAAAACCCCAAAAATTTAAGAATTTAATGCCAGTTTAGAAAGTAACCGTTATATCAGCGATGTATCTTGTTGGCCATTTTATAAAGACTTTATATGACTGTAAAAGCAAACTTGTTTTGTTAGTTTCTTTGGGGTTTACCACTTCATTCCCACTTGAAACAGAGGTGAGAGGTGAATTTTCACAGGAAAGAAATTGCTGCTGCCGGGATTCAAACCCACCCGGCCCTCTGCACCCTTCTGGTCGTGGAGCCTATGCTCTACCAACTGAGCTAATCCTGCATGGCGACTGTTTTTATTTTTATTTCATTAATTCTGCTCCATAGAAAACTATCACACCACTTGAACTTTGTTTTGTTTTCTTTGTTTTTTATCTTTTTAATTATTAACAAAAATGTAAAGAGGGAAAAAAACATAAACAGATTCAACATTGTGTGGTGTTTAAAGGTTATCTTCAGCCAAAAAATATTTTTTTATATACGGTGACCACTTTACAAGAAATAAAAATTTTCAAAGATGAACCATAAAAGCGAAATTGACTGTTAAAATGGCAAAATTATCGATTTCACGGAAACAGTTGAGTAAAAATCTGAAAACCCAATAAGTGACCAGTGACGTCACAGTATACCAAAAGAGACTGAAATCGACTCGATTTAACATGGCGAGTATAGGGAAATGAAAGTACGTGACTACTTAAATGGACTGTTTTAAGTCATTCAAGGAGGAAAAGGGCTAAAATATATATACATAATTTTAGGTTATTAAATTCCCTAACGACCAGTATATTTCTTTATTTAATTATTGCACTACTACCACATATAAACTTAAGTTAAAAAGTAAAAAAAAAACCCGTCTCAGAAATACTCGTCTGAAAAACGGATCGTAGTAATGTGGTGACTTACTGGGTTCTGGCAATATGCGTCAAATGAAAAAGACAGTTTTTACTCCTTCAACAACGGAAACGGCTGTAATTCATAGATACAAATTTAGTATTTTGAATTCCCTTTTGATTGGTATATATATTGTCTTTGAATAAATGCAGTGATTTGCCATGTTAACCTTATTTGAAAAGGAAAACCTCATAAATATTCGACTGAAAACGGGTCGTAGATGGTATATATCCCCAATTTTTCCCGCTGACTGGGGAAAACATGGCCACTAATTTCAACTGTAAAACATACTTTATCATAAAATCTGTGTACAGTTACACTGTCCTGTAAAACACACTTTATCATAAAATCTGTTACACTGTCCTGTAAAACACACTTTATCATAAAATCTGTTACACTGTCCTGTAAAACACACTTTATCATAAAATCTGTTACACTGTCCTGTAAAACACACTTTATCATAAAATCTGTTACACTGTCCTGTAAAACACACTTTATCATAAAATCTGTATACAGTTACACTGTCCTGTAAAACACACTTTATCATAAAATCTGTTACACTGTCCTGTAAAACACACTTTATCATAAAATCTGTATACAGTTACACTGTCCTGTAAAACACACTTTATCATAAAATCTGTTACACTGTCCTGTAAACACACTTTATCATAAAATCTGTTACACTGTCCTGTAAAACACACTTTATCATAAAATCTGTTACACTGTCCTGTAAAACACACTTTATCATAAAATCTGTTACACTGTCCTGTAAAACACACTTTATCATAAAATCTGTTACACTGTCCTGTAAAACACACTTTATCATAAAATCTGTACTTTACAGTTACACTGTCCTGTAAAACACACTTTATCATAAAATCTGTTACACTGTCCTGTAAAACACACTTTATCATAAAATCTGTTACACTGTCCTGTAAAACACACTTTATCATAAAATCTGTTACACTGTCCTGTAAAACACACTTTATCATAAAATCTGTTACACTGTCCTGTAAAACACACTTTATCATAAAATCTGTTACACTGTCCTGTAAAACACACTTTATCATAAAATCTGTTACACTGTCCTGTAAAACACACTTTATCATAAAATCTGTTACACTGTCCTGTAAACACACTTTATCATAAAATCTGTTACACTGTCCTGTAAAACACACTTTATCATAAAATCTGTTACACTGTCCTGTAAAACACACTTTATCATAAAAAATCCTGTACATAAAATCTGTTACACTGTCCTGTAAAACACACTTTATCATAAAATCTGTGTACAGTTACACTGTCCTGTAAAACACACTTTATCATAAAATCTGTATACAGTTACACTGTCCTGTAAAACACACTTTATCATAAAATCTGTTACACTGTCCTGTAAAACACACTTTATCATAAAATCTGTTACACTGTCCTGTAAACACACTTTATCATAAAATCTGTTACACTGTCCTGTAAAACACACTTTATCATAAAATCTGTGTACAGTTACACTGTCCTGTAAAACAATCTTTATCATAAAATCTGTTACACTGTCTTGTAAAACACACTTTATCATAAAATCTGTATACAGTTACACCATTTACAGTGTAATCCTTTTTAAATAAAGTCTATTATTATTATTATGAAACTTGTTGGTGTTAGAAAATTGGTTTATAGGATTGTTGAATGTTAGGTTTGTTAAAAATACCAGGTCTTTCTGATTGTTTGTCAAGTTTTTTTAAAAGATTAGAACCACAAAGATAAGCCCAGTTTTTGCCAATTTAAAATTCATCTGTTTATATTTCACATTTCTTAACTCCAGGTCCACAGATAAAAAAAGATGGAGTCGAATCATCAAGCTTCAGTATGACCATGACAAGGTCAAGGTCAAACAAAGGGCTGTAGATGGACAGATACAGGGACCAGTTCAGCCAGAAGAGGATGAACATCCACAACAATTAAAAGCAGGATCATCTCAAGATCAGACTGGACCCAAACCTCAGCAACAATCAGCAGCTGATCAATCCCAACAGTATAAACGAAGCACAACTTCAAAACCTCAAACCCATACCATACAGCCTGAACAAGAGATGGCGCCAAAAAAATCACAGGAACAAATTCTGATGGAACAATTTCAGCAGCCAATTAGAAAACAAATCAGACAGGCAAGATCTGAAAAACATATTGTACAACAAAACTCCCAGCAACAAACCGGACGAGAAAAACATATTGTGCAACAAAACTCCCAGCAACAAACCGGACGAGAAAAACATATTCAAGGAATGAGACTTGATCAAATTGAAAAACAGACCCAGCAAGGGCATTATCAACAACCAGATAATCAGGGAAATTCTCAAAGGCAAAATGTAATAGAAAAATCCAAACAATTTGACTTTGCACAACCTAAAAACCCGACAAAAGGACATAAAACTACTGTAAAATCTCCATATCATTTAACAGTTGATACACAGCCTGGACAAAAGATGGCACCAAAGAAATCACAGGAACAAGTACTGATGGAACAGTTTCAGCAGCCAATTAAAAAACAAATTAGACAGGCAGAATCGGAAAAACATATTGTACAACAAGACTCTCAACATCAAAAAGCACCACTAAATTCACAACAGCGAAAAATGTCAGAAAATTTACAACAGCAAAAATTTTCAGAAAATTCAAAACAGCAAAAAGTGTTTGTAAATTCCTGACCACAAAAAGTGTCAGAAAATTCACATCAGCAAAAAGTGTTTGTAAATTCACAACAGCAAAAAGTGTTTGTAAATTCACTACAGCAAAAAGTGTTTGTAAATTCAAAACAGCAAAAAGTGTTTGTAAATTCACAAGTGTCAGAAAATTTGCAGCAACAAAAGGAGTCATGAAATTTTCCAACAAAATAATAAAGTACCAGAAAATTATCAACAGTAAATTGTACCAGAAAAATCCAAACAAATGGAGCCTGCTGGACCTGATTTGTTTGGGCAGCAAAAAACTGGACAAGACCCAGTGTTCAAACAAGAAGCTCCATTCAAATCTTTACAAAGAAATATAGATGACATTGCAAGAAAACAATTTAGTGGTAAAACTTTGGGAAAATCTAAGGTAAAAGTTGAAGCCAAGCCTGCAAATGTCCGGGTTATCAGACAGACCAGGACAATGAAGTTCTATAGCAACAAAACCATCTTATTGATCAATCCGACCTCCTCCCTCTCCACATCCCAGGACACCATGCTGAGGAAACCCTAGCTGGCTGATAGCAATAAACTGTGCATTCTGCCCAGAAATGTATTCAGGAAAAAGCTACAAAGATGCAAGGGAGGCCACTCTAATCTGGAAACAGGATTGGTGATAATTAAAACAATAAGTACTCGGTATCTAACTGAACATGAAAGAACTGGATAATATATCAGTTTGTGATTATCGTTCTGTTACCAGGAGAGATTGTCTTTGTAACCATGGAAACATCAGGTTATCCTGTATCTCAAAAATACTCTGAAATTTGAGTGTTGAAACCAAGATATTTGTGTGTGTGTGTGTGTGTGTGTGTGTGTGTGTGTGTGTGTGTGTGCGTGTGTGTGTGTGTGTGTGTGTGTGCGTGTGCGTAGGAGTGGGTGGGAGTGAGCGTAGGAGTGGATGTGTGTATTTGCTACTGATGGAAAATTGATGTGTGCGAATATTGCTGGGATATTTTGGTGTGATGTGAAGCTTTTTGTTGAATGTTAGAAGAAACATATCAATTTGTTGTTTTTATCAGCATGTTTTTGGAAATGTAAATATTACTGTACTATATCTATACAGAAGAAATATCAATAGAATATCAATAAAATAGGGAAAATTGTATAAACATTGGAATACTTCTCAACCTGGCTACACAGCTGTTATAAGCCTGAAGTTTTACCATGTTTGTGAAAAATTCATGTTGAATATTTCATTTTGCATATTTTTTTAAAGTATATGAAATAACAAAGGTACTTGATGTTTATAGGTATGAGTTTTACTACCTAAAAAACAGTGTTTGCATAAATCAGATTGGTGGTGAGATAAATCAGATTGGTGGTGAGATAAATCAGATTGGTGGGGAGATAAATCAGATTGGTGGGGAGATAAATCAGATTGGTGGGTAGATAAATCAGATTGGTGGTGAGATAAATCAGATTGGTGGTGAGATAAATCAGATTGGTGGGAGATAAATCAGATTGGTGGGGAGATAAATCAGATTGGTGGGGAGATAAATCAGATTGGTGGTGAGATAAATCAGATTGGTGGGGAGATAAATCAGATTGGTGGTGAGATAAATCAGATTGGTGGGGAGATATTTTTATGAAATTTTTCTTCTTATTAATTTGGAACCTGAAACAGATATGTACTGTTTTAATACTAGGCAGCCCGGTACCATGTAACAGTTTCCTTCACTAGTGATTAATTTTTGCTATTTTCACAGTTCAAAAACTGTGAATAGTGCAGACTTTGATTGATTAGGAGTTATATTTTTTTCAGTTAATATGCTTGATTGTTAAAAATATTATGATATTGCTGAAAGATTTTCCAGTTTTCGCACAATTTGGCAAATTTGCATGTGACAAAATGAACCCATTTTACAGTTTAACTGCCCATGAAAGTCAGGGTATCATGGGCTTATTATAGGACAATGAAACAGTGATAACAATATTTTAATGTGTTTATCTCATGTGTCTTGCTATTGCTTTGTTTATTGAATGTAATCCTGTTGAAGAATGTTGACTTTAGACAAACAATGCTCAAATTTAATCTTGTCTGAGTTCAACTTAAAAAAAATAGAAAAATTGAACTTTGATATTATCAGCAAAGATGTTTCATAAGACTGAAATCACAGCATTGTATTTGTGAGTATCATGTTTGAGATAAGGTTCAATCGTCACTCTGGAACAATCGTCCATACTACAGGGGTTACGATCACTTTCGGTCTCTGTAACCCTGGAACCATCCTCGACATTCCAGGGGTTACGATCACTTTCACTCTCTGTACCCGTGGAACCATCCTCGACACTCCAGGGGTTACAATCACTTTCACTCTCTGTTCTCCTGGAACCATTCACAATGCTCCAGGGGTTACGATCATGAAGTTTTCATGTGCAACACCATGTGGACAAGATAAAAAGATTAATTTGATCTTTTGATATACTTGTACATGAATCACTCCTTTGTAATCTTCTGTAGCAGCGTATCAGCCTATGATTGGTCAGGTTTGACATGTTCCAAGGGTGCAGAGAGTGAAAGTGGTCAAACGCCCTGGAGTATCGAGGATGATTTCTTTCGAGTCAGACTTCTTGTTTGACATAATGAAAAATTTCAAATCAATCTACATTATTTTTTTTATGTTTTGTGTTATTTATTTGTGATTAAGATGTTGAAATTTCTCATGATGACGTTTATTTTTTGAAAAGGTTTATATATATTGTTGTGAACTGTTGAACTGTCTTACAGGGCTGTGTTGCTTTGTGATTCTGATTTTTGAAATTTAAAAAAAATATCTATTGTTTCAGTTACAGACTCATTCCTATATACTATACTTTTGCTACAAACTCCTGAAAGTTATTGAAATAAGGTACAGACTTCTGTTAGAAAAAATCACACATTTATATCAAACTATATTTTTACAAGTGCATGTTATAGAAGTTTGTTTTGCCAGGTCCCTGTGTGGGTAGCTTGTTTCGTTAGGTCCCTTTGTTGAAGGTTGGTTTTGTCAGGTCCTTATGTGGATTGTCATGTCCTATGTGGAAAGTTTGTTTTGTCAGGTCCCTATGTGGAAAGTTTATTTTGTCAGGTCCCTGTGTTGAAAATTTATTTTGTCAGGTCCCTGTGTTGAAAGTTTATTTTGTCAGGTCCCTTTGTTGAAGGTTGGTTTTGTCAGGTCCCTGTGTTGGAAGTTTATTTTGTCAGGTCCCTTTGTTGAAGGTTGGTTTTGTCAGGTCCCTGTGTGGAAAGTTTATTTTGTCAAGTCTCTGTGTGAGATATACTTGTTTTGTCTGCAGATCCCAGCAGAAAACCTCCTGGGACACTTTTACAAACTTTATGTGTAACTACTATTGTGCTGTTCATTTAAAACCTTATTTTGTCCTTTTGTTTTATTGTTCTGTTGATGTAATTAACACAAAACTTTCATCATTCCATGGTTTTTAATTTACCATCATGGATGTGTCATGTTTCACTTCTTGATATTTGATTATTCCTAAGTAAGTATGTGTCATTTCTGTCCCTCTTACTGATTTTTAGATAAACCATCGTATTTGCAAATTTTGTGAAGTTTCCATTGTGTTGTGATTCAAAACAAAACTTCATTAAATTTGATAAGTACATGTATATAATTGATTATACCAGTATCTAAGTGGACTTGATGAAGACCATTGTTTTGTATCTAATGGTGAACACATAGAATGATTTGTGTAATACTTCCTTGTTCCCTGACATTCTGTAGAGAACCATTAGACCAGTACATACTGTATTAATCAGTGTATGAGATTAGTTGGTTGTTAGGTTTAAAATAACCTACACTTCATGATAGTTCTAGTATGTACATATATAGATACAAATGTCCATTTTGTGATATTCAAGCTATTATGTTTTTTTTGTAATATAGAGTTATCTGCTCTTGTAAGCAGATATTGATAATTACGCCATTTGTCTGTGAGAGAATAACATCATACATTTGTCTGTGAGAGAATAACATACATTTGTCTGTGAGAGAATAGCATCATACATTTGTCTGTGAGAGAATAACATACATTTGTCTGTGAGAGAATAACATCATACATTTGTCTGTGAGAGAATAACATCATACATTTGTCTGTGAGAGAATAACATCATACATTTGTCTGTGAGAGAATAACATACATTTGTCTGTGAGAGAATAGCATCATACATTTGTTTGTGAGAGAAACACTGTAAAGAAAGGGGATAAGTTTTCCTATCTCAGTATTTAGAGCTGAATGTGATGGATTCTGGGAAAGTCTAAATCTGAAAAATTTAGCAAAACCTATTTTATCTGTCAGTAAGTTGTTGATAAATATTTAACAGATAAAAAGCATTGGTTTTTCAGCATCTTTATCTACACAGATAAAACAGTATTGCCTTTTGTGGTGGGGTGATAATACTGGAGTTTTGAGCTTGGGTTGATGATAGACTTGTCCAACACAGTCCTAGTTAACATCACTACACAAGCACTTGTTGATGGAGATGTTCAGGAGTATAAAAAAATTTCAGCTTTTTGTGCAGATAAATTGTGGAGGTATTTTCGTTCAATTTTGGGGAATTTTTGTATGGGAAATTTTATCATGTTTTACTGGTGACTATATGATACTCTTAAGTTTTTATTGTTTTGTCTGCTGTTTACTGTTTAGTCATCGTGCTTTGTGCGTCGTTGTGCATCGTGCTTTGTGCGTCGTTGTGCATCGTGCTTTGTGCGTCGTTGTGCATCGTGCTTTGTGCGTCGTTGTGCATCGTGCTTTGTGCATCATTGTGCATTGTGCTTTGTCCGTTGTTGTGCATCGTGCTTTGTGCGTCGTTGTGCATCGTGCTTTGTGCGTCGTTGTGCATCGTGCTTTGTGCATCATTGTGCATTGTGCTTTGTGCGTCGTTGTGCATCATGCTTTGTCCGTTGTTGTGCATCGTGCTTTGTGCGTCGTTGTGCATCGTGCTTTGTCCGTCGTTGTGCATCGTGCTTTGTGCGTCGTTGTGCATCGTGCTTTGTGCGTCGTTGTGCATCGTGCTTTGTGCGTCGTTGTGCATCGTGCTTTGTGCGTCGTTGTGCATCGTGCTTTGTGCGTCGTTGTGCATCGTGCTTTGTGCGTCGTTGTGCATCGTGCTTTGTGCGTCGTTGTGCATCGTGCTTTGTGCGTCGTTGTGCATCGTGCTTTGTGCGTCGTTGTGCATCGTGCTTTGTGCGTCGTTGTGCATCGTGCTTTGTGCGTCGTTGTGCATCGTGCTTTGTGCGTCGTTGTGCATCGTGCTTTGTGCGTCGTTGTGCATCGTGCTTTGTGCGTCGTTGTGCATCATGCTTTGTCCATCGTTGTGCATTGTGCATAAACTTTTTCTTTCTGCTTGAGTGGATTTCAACAAGCTTTTGTCTTATTCATTTTTTAGTGTAGAAAATTATTTTTTTAATTCAGAAATTTTATTTGACCCCTAGGGACTTAGGGGCGGGGCTCGAAAAGGGTAAATAAGATAAGATTTTGCTTCTCCATTTTAATGCTTAAATAGATTTCAACCAA